TGCTCTTAACCACTGAGCCATCTCTCCAGCTACTAAATCTTTAGTATATATCAGTGAATAGATGATGTCTAGATTTGGAAATAAAAAATAGTAGTTTTGCATTTTATCTATTATGTTTTTTTTTTTTTTTTTTTTTCTGGAGATTACAATTAGAAGTGAAAAAACAAGGGCAGCCTGTCAGGAGCTCTTTAGAAATCTCTGGTTCTATGGTTACCACTACTTCTGGGCAGGAGGTACTCTCTACTGGTACCAGAGGTTCTGGAACGTCCCCTCAGAACTGAGTTTAAAGATGGCTTTTATTATTTCCATAAGGCAGAGGGAGTGGTGGCCACCATACACACAGCCTTAGGGGATGCACCTCACAGAAAGGGGAAGGACCCACACTAGAACTGAGGCGCCTACATGAATGGCAGAGTTAAAATAAGACATGATTACAGCCGTGGTGGTGCACGCCTGTAGTCCCAGCACTTGGGAGGCAGAGGCAGGCAGACCTCTTATGAGTTCAAGGTCAGCCTGGCCTACATAGTGAGTTCCGGGACAGCTGGGGCTACAGGGAGACCCTGCTTCAGAAAGAAAAAAATAAAGACATGATTATATGAATTTCTTTCTTTAATGAGGTAAGGGTCTCACAGAGATCCACCTGCTTCTGCCTCCCAAGTGCTGGGATTACACAGGTCAGTACCACCACACCCAGGCTCTGCTCTGCTTTTTAATGGTTAGAGTAGAATGTCTAGGCCCAGTATGAGACACGCCCCCATGAATTCAACCAGCTGACAGTTCTGACCAAATTAAATGCCCTGGTGCCATGCTGTACCAAATTTCTGATAAAGATTCTGATTGGAATAGGCAAATGCAGGTCCTCCCTAGGATCCCAGAGACAGGCAGAGTGCCCGTGCTGTGGGAGCATGCTCTCTGCTGCCAGCAGCTGGGAAGCCAGGAGTACCAACAGGAGCCATCAGTGCTCACCTGTGGGGGCTGCTGCTGACAGAACCCAAGACCACTCTGCTGTGGGCACCCATCTCCCAGGTGCTGAGAGTAGGTGGTGGCTCACATCTGCCCTTCTCTGAAGCATGACCCTGAGCCAAATGGAACCAAAGCTACTTGAGAGACTATGTCCCTGCCTTCCCCTACTGCTGGCCCATGGCTGGCAGAAAGATCAGCAGGCTGCAGGGTCAGTCAGACTAAAGCCAGGCTCCAGCCAAGAGACCACACTCACCCTTCTCACCCTTCCCCCATTCTGCACCCTTCCCCCCTCCAAGATCATGCCCAAGTGCATCTCTCAAAGAAACAAGGTGCCTCATCTCAGACTATGCAATGTGCCTCAATCCTGGCAGGCAGCCTGCTGCTCTGACTCTCAGGGATGGAAATGTCACGAGGGCCATTCAGGCAAATTGTGTTCTTGGAGCAGTTGGGTTCTTGGTGAGGATATTGGGCCGACTGCCCAGTACAATCATCCCTTACAGAATTCACACTGGGACTTACATTTACTTGGGAAGTTATTCAGGGACATAGTGTCCTTCACAATACTGATTCAGAGCAGAGATGGTAATTCACAGTGACAGGGTCCAAGTTTGGGCCCAGAATCCATTTTGCCTGCCAAGCAACAGAAATGGAAATATGGGTTAGACCCCTCAAGAACAGGCTCAGATCCCCCAGATCCCAGGCTGTGGCATAGCTCATTCTACCTCAGGCTGTTCCTCTTCTGAATAGTCACCCCCTAATGGTACTGACTTTCTGTCAGACCTCTGTGGGAAACAACTGGAAAGATGGTGGCCAGTACCTACGTCACTGGGTTATTGTAGTAAGGCTTCTTTGAGAGTACAGATAAAGCTCTGAGCACACAGCCTGTCATCTGTAAAGCTCCCAAGAAGCCAACTGTTGTTACCATCTTCTGGAATTCCAGGACTCCCAGGGCTCCCTCACACAATACTTTTCTCCTCCATGTCAGGATCCAGCTGTTTCTTTTGTCTCTGAAGTGTAGTGACTAGCAAAGAGTTCTGCCAAAAACTCCAGCTCTTGTCCCTGGGTAAGCAGTCAGCTCTGCTCTGGGGGTGGAGGACTGGTGGGAATCAACAGGGAATGCCACAATGGAGGCTCAGTGGTGAGGGGCCTAATCCTGGAATCTCCCAGGATGACTGACATTAATGACAGTCACAGAACATCTTATTTTGGCTCAGACTGGAAAGGAAACAATCTTTGTCCCTCGCTATGTGAGACTGAGGTAGAGGGGAGAAGACCAACAAGTCAGAAAGTAACCAGAACAATGGGGCAGCCTTTATAAAGCTCTGAAATGGGGAGAAAAAGGGTCCCCTAGTGTCATTCATAAAAGAATTTAAGAATGGACCCAAAAGGAAGCTTTTACAATTTTATTAGAATCTTAAAGAAAAGTCCTCAGGGCAGGTGAGCTGGTAATCTTGTCAGCTTCTTTGAGGAGGTGAATGGTGGGAAGAAGGAAAGAAAGCCATGGAGCCATGTAGGTTTAGAGCCTGCGTGGGAGGTCAGACTCCTGGCTGATTGGCAGCCACATGGTTGGGAGAAGGAAGCTTTAGAGAAAAAGTGAAGAAATACAAGATGCTCGGGGCACCCCAAAGCCTTAAAGAAAGCATGTTTAGTAAGAAGTGCATGAAGAAGGAAAGAAGAAATTATGCTTTCCTGAATTCTCAGAAAAGCAGACAGACTTACAGAGACCTACATGACTGTGGCTGGTCCAGAAGTTCTGTGGAGATCTGCGCCAGTTCCAGGCAGGAAAAATTCGCTACCTTGTTTATGCACCAGGTATTCCGCCCATCTATTTAGCATAACTTAAGGTGAACCTACCTTCCTAGGAGTGGTTCTATCACCAGGTAATTGACCAGTGAGACTGGAAAAGTGGATCCTCTAACAGATAGACTTGGGATTTTATAGTCTGGACCAGCTATATTTATGGGGATTTTTGGCTACTCTAACAGCTCCAGCCATTTAACTATTTGTAAACAGTGGTCTCTGAACTGTTAGTCAAGTTCCCTATGTCTGATGGCCTTGAACCCTCTCAGGCTTGGAACTGGGTGTTCTTCCTCTAACCAGCCCTTCCGTGTCACTGAGGTCCATGAGCTCCAGACTCATTCTTTCACTCAGTGATGGACAGTGACCATTAATGCCCAACTTCCTGATGAGAAGAGGGACTGCTTGTCAACTCTTCAGGCAAGAACTTCCTTGAAATGGGAGGAGGCCTCCAAAAGAACTAAACCCAGAGCCAGCTAGGTGACTGCCTCTGAGGAGTGGTAAAGGGATGGGAGAAGGGCAGCAGTTTCTTCATAGCTGTTTCAATGGCTGGGAGATTACATAAGTATTCCTATGGTCTTCCTCATACTCTGTTGGGACCCTGCATTTTGTCCACTTACTTGTGTGTCTTCCTCAGCTGGCCTGGCTGGCCAGTGGGACCTCAGAGAACAATCCACTCAGGACACAGGTGGCAGCCCAAGTGCCAGTGAGGCCCCCAAGGGGCAGGAGCAGAACACCCACTATCCTCCAGTTCCATCTTCCCTGGTGTCTGCATCCCAACCTTTCAGTCTCCCAGCTGCCCAGCCTCTGTGCCTGAGAGAGGTTTGGCTCCTTGGGTATGATTCCTGCTGGCTAGTCCAGCTGTGAGGGGAGGAGCAGGGGAAGGACAAGGGGATTCCTGGCCGATAGGAGGGGAGCAGTGTGCCAACATGGCCCAGGATGGGCCTGGGGCAGCATTGACACCTGCCAGCCTGTCACTTTATTCCTCATGGGTAGTTCCCACCCTCACCAGTTCACAGATGAGGGAGCAAGTTAACTTAGAGAGTCCAGAGTGAATCTGGCTCTTTGGGCTCCAAGCTCAAGGTTCATCCGGTGACACATAGTGTATTAGATCATTGTTAAGGAGGCCAAGGTCTCAAAGCTGCAGTGTAAGGCAGGTTGTGAAACATCGTGCTTGCTGCTAGATTCTGTGCACCTCTGGCCTATCTCTGGGCACTAGGAGAAATGAGGGGACAGGGAAGGGAAGGAGAGAGAGGGGCGGGGAGCAAGAGAAGCTGGGGGCAGGGCTTTAATTTCCTGTGTTCTGCATATTTCTGTAACATTGTACCTTTCACTCTGCATGAGCAGTGATTTGCTAATTAGGATAACTAATGGCCAGGCATGGAGGTGCACATCTGAAATCCTAGCACCTGGGATGGGAAGCAAGAAAATCCAGTATTCAAGGCCAGCCTCAGCAGCATAGGGGTTTGAAGCCAGCCTGTGCTAGAAGAGACGCCCCCCGCCAAAAAAAGACCAGGAGAAAGGAATGCTTACCAAGAGCATTACCTCCACCTTCTTCTTTTCTCAGTTTCCAAAACAACCAGTACATACCTCTCTGTGAAGGAAATATTTTTGTGCCTCAAAGGATTGTGTGCATCATTAATTATTAAAGAGATGTTGCCAATCCCTTCAAGTAAGTTTAATGTTCAGTTTGAGAAGGAATTGAAGAACAAGAGCATTGTCCTCGACTGTGCAGGTATTGCTTATGTGTTTAGTGAAAAAGAAAGGAAGGAAGAGACAAAGATAAAAGAGGGACAATGGTGTGATTTTAGTTGGTTTTCCTGACTGTCAGACTGAAACACTTCCTATTTGTGTCAGTTGTACTGTTTTTCTTACCTTCCAGCTTAGGAGAATGGACTACTGACCCAGTGAGAAAGGGAAGCTAAGATGCAGCATGAAGATAAACTGCTGGGATGACTGATGGAAAGGGGAGGAAAGGGAGGGCGAGGACAATCAAGGTGGCTGCTTGGAAGTGGTGGTCTGAAGCAAGGAGGGGACAGGGAGTGTAGAGGTGGGCTGAGGGTGGGAAGGCAGCAGACAGTAAGACCATAAAGGACCAGCCTTGAGTGGGCCTGCTTCCCCAACCCCTTTTCCCTGAAACAGGGCTGGGGTCCCCACCCCCACTGTGGCCCTGAGCTCTGGGGAGGCCCAACCTACTTTAGCTCTGGACTCTGCCCAGGAATTTCTGCTGAAGTGAGGAGGCCAAAGCCCAAGCTGGTTGGTCCCGGCTGTCCCCACAGAAACCTGTGCTTCTGTCCTTCCTGACGCTACCTATTCACCACAAATATGTGAGTAGCACGGGATCCTCTCCCTCCTCTGTGCAGCTGTGTGCCTACTTGTGTGTAGCAGGCATTCCTGGGCTCTGCAGCATGCTCCACGTGCACCCCTGCTTGTGTGGATGTGTGTCTGGGGCTATCCCCTTAACCAGGCTGGTGTTTAGATAGAGTAGGGTGCTCCCTAAGGCAAGGAAAAGAGAGGGAACTGGAAAGAGAAGAAGGGGGTCTAAGGGTTCTTATTTACAGAAGAACTAAAGCCTGTAAACAGCTTTACCACAAAAGAAAGTATATTGTCTTTTGAATGGAAAAGTCCAGGGGTTGGGGTAGCTGCAGGTATGGTTGGATCCAGGGACTGGGATGATTGTTGAAGATGGATGACATGAACACTTCACCCACTGGCAGTGCTGGAGATTGACCAAGGCTAGGGCCTCTTTTCAGAAAAGTGCCCACATCAAATGCACAAATAATTCCTTCCTTTCCTTCCTGAAAAAGTGGGGATAATTCTGTTCCTGCTTGAAATACCTGGAGCTTGCAAAGACTTGCTTCTCACAGGATCACAAGTGAGGGCAGGAAGGGGTATCCATCCTTCCCCCCATCTCCTACTGCCCTCCTCTTACCTGGCCTTCCTTTCCTATCCGGGCCCTCACTAACTTTTTTGTCTTTCAGTTGGAAGGCCTGGCACATGGCGGATGATACAGCAAAGCAAAGAGAGTCCATCTCTCTCCCAACCGTGGCCCATGGCCTAGAGAACCTGGGGGCTGAGTTCCTGGAAAGCCTGGTCTGTCCCCTTCCCCTATTGCATCCGGGGCTCCTCAACTGGACGGCAGACTGGGGTGGGGAGGGACTTTTTTGTGCCTTCTTCCTTCACTCCAGCCTGTCCTCACCTCTGCTTGCACAGTGCCTCCCCAGAATGAAGTAGCCTTCTTCATTTCACCCCTTAAACACATCCTGAGCACCCATTTGTGCTGCTTTGCCTTTGCTCATCTGAAGGGTCAGTGAAGGTTGTGGGAGGGAATTGTATCTGGTCTATAAGATGAGAACAGCAGCACAGGATAGCACCATGTCCCTGATGAAGGCCCAGCTTTCAAAGAGCTCCTAACTCCACAAAGGCAAACTTGAGGCTCACAGTCCCAGCTGTGGAGCCCAATACAAGACCCTCTGCCCGCTCAACCTCCTCTGACAAGGCTCCCTTCCATTCCCTGCTCTGAGCACACCAGGGGGCACCTTCACAATGTCATCCACAAGAATGTAGGCTAACCTGTTGATGGACTCAGAACTTTAATCCCAACACTTGGGATGCAGAGGCAGGTGGAGCTCTGTGAGATCCAGGCCAGCCTGGTCTACATTATGAGTTACAGGCCATCTGTGGCTACAGGGAGACAACTCTGTCACAAAATGATGATGATGATGATGATGATGATGATGATGATGTACCCTGCTTCCTAAATAATTGCAGGGACAGAATAATTACAGGGTCAGTGGGGCAAGTGATGCTCTGAAGCCTAAGGTGGCCCTGCCTAGGAACTTTCTTAGGGATTTCCTTCTGGTCTTCCAGTAGTCACAGTGAAATCACAAGTATTCTTCCCCTTGTAGACCACAAATTCTCTGAGAGCAGATTGTGTTTGTGTACAATAAGTGCTCAATGCATACTTTGTAGAATTTAACTAAGTAGCCTTCTATTTCCTGTGCAAAAGTCTAGTCTACCTCCGTCCACTCAGAAGGTGCTTGTGGGTGCATGGGGCAGCCAGGGTCTTGCCCATTTCCAGGCCGTCTTCAGCCACAGCTGTCTCTTGGGGGGAAGGCTGGCCCTGATGGCTTTCTGTTGGCTTTAGGAGGAAGGCCGGCTCCCTGGCATGGATTCTAGACACGAAGAAGGTGGACACAGCTGGAACAAAGCAGAGCCCAAGCCCTTCTCCAGATGGTAGGTGATCTTTGGGAGGGAACATGTAGCCTGGAGAATAGGATGGAAGGCTGGCCTCATTGACGTGGGTGGCCCTGGGAGACTTGTCCGACAGAAGTGAAGGGACAAGTAAGCTGTGCTGGCCTCTGCACAGGGGTGAGCAAGGCACAGGTGTCTGCCTGCCTGCTTGTAAACAGGCAGTATTAAATCCTAGCAGATACCCTAGGCCTCCCTGAAACCTAGTCCACCCTGTTCAGTTGCTGAGCCGCTTTGGGGAACCCCAAAGCTCAGTGGGTAAGACTCCTGGACTGGGCCAGACTTCCCACTTTACACAGAGGGCATATGACCAGCTCAGAGAGTCTGGTATGAGTCTAGAACTTGGGTCCTGGGTGGTGGAATACCATGCTGAGCAGAACAGGAAGGACAGGGCATGGCAGTAAGTAGGGGATCATCTAGGCACAGGTGGGGGGAGGTAGACTAGGGAAGATGCCTTGTTTCCCCTGGGTGGGAGGGCCTTGAAACAGCAGCCGAGCATTGAATTTTATGAGAAATGAGTGTGTATGTACTAACTCCTTGGCCTGTGGGGCCCCAGAGGAGATTTAGGTGGCAGCCCTTTCTCTAGGGACAGGCAAGTGACCAAGTGACCAACAAGGACTGGTGCCCATACTGAGCACCCAAGGCAGTGGGAGTGGGCCAGCCGCTTACTCTTACTTGTCTCTGGAATAGGCACTGAAGGATCAGATAATAAATGTCCGCATCCTAGGGGAGTAGAGTTGAGAGCCTCTCCACCTTCTTCAGTGGACAGGTGGAAGCCAAATAAGGGTTGGGCAACCATGACCGTGCCTTTCTGGATGCCCAAAAGCCTCTTCCTTATGGGTTTGATTCCTCATGCACCCTGGAGCAGAGGTGGCCCTATGGAGTGGCCCCAAGGCTCAAAGTATGTGGAACCATGGTTTAGTGTGCTCTGGGATGTGCTGCCTGTTGGGTAGCAAAGCCTGTCATCACTGCACTAGGTGGCTCAACCTAGAGGTTTTGGGGATCCCCTCTGGGGTGGAAGATGGGGGCTACTCATAAACCTTGCCAGTCCTCTCCCCCAGGAGGAGCCTGCAGCCAGCTGTGCAAGCAAGAAGCTTCTGCAGGGAGCACAAGCAGCTGTTTCAGTGGATCTGCAAAAGCCTTCTCTGTATTGGTGAGCTGGGGACTCATCCTGCCCGACTCAGGAGACAGTCACTGCTCCACAGTCTCCATATCACAGGGCAGGTTCATTCACTTATACAGTTAGTCAAAAAAATGCCTGTTGAGCCAGGCATGGTGGCGCATGCCTTAAATCCCAGTACTCGGGAGGCAGAAGCAGGTGGAGCGCTGTGAGTTCAAGGCCAGCCTGGTCTACATAGTGAGTTCCAGGACAGCTGGGGCTACAGAGAGACCCTGTCTCAAAAAGACCAAAAAAAAAAAAAAAAAAGTCTGTTGAGCTGTGTGTGGTGGCACACGCTTTTAATCCCAGCACTTGGGAGGCAGAAGCAGATTTCTGTGAGTTCAGGCTAGCCTGGTCTACATAGGGAGTACCATGCCAGCTGGTGCTACAGAGAGATACTGTTTGAAAAAGACATCATTGACTCAGCCAGCTCAGAATAGGAGCTGGCTCAGTCAAGCCAAACTAGATCTGATTTCCAAGTCCCACCCTGGACAGCAAGAGAGAGCAGGTATGCCTATATAAAAGAGGGAGCCACATGGGAGCTCCAAGCAGGAGTGGTCAGTCAGAGAGGACTTCCAGGAGGAGGTGAACTTCAGGGCCCATGGGCAGAGCAGGGCCAGCCAGGTAGAGTGGAGGGGCAAGGAATAAGAAAGTCCCTTCAAGCACAGAAGTCAGGGAGCAAAGGTGAAAAAGGTGTGGGCTCTGATAGTCTTGTGTGGTGGGAAGGGTAAAGTTCCAGACAAGGAGTGCGGGCCTGAGGCTGGAGGGCTGCAAAGGACCCAGTAAATAAGGAATGGGGAAGGTGGGGGGTATTTGGGAACTTGGATTTGACCCTGAAGTCCAGAGATGGGCACTGAAGGATTTAAACGAGGAAGTGCCCAGGCTAGCTTTATAATGTGCACAGCAGCAGGAAGAGGTCACAGGAAAGATGAAGGAGACAGTGAGGGCTCCATGTGTGTGAGGATGAAGTGAAAGACACAGCTGGGTCAGAAGGATCGGTCTGAGAATCTGAGAATTGAGGGGCCATCAGTGCCTGCTGAACTTGCAAAGTGACTGAGTGTGCAGGGTGGAGGAAGCCTTAGGTCAAGGCTACTTCCTATTCCTGCTTGTGTGGAATGAAGGTCCCTTACCTAGAACACAGGTGGAGGAAAGCAGGACCATTTGTTAGAGGTATAACTTCCAGGCCATGGCAGGAGGACAAGATGTTTCTGGGGGACACTTTCGGTATGAACTGTGAAGTAGGTCAGGAATAGAAGGCTGGGGACCAGTCACATACAAAGAGCTGGCAAAAGCCAGGGGCAAGAGCTTCAAAGAGCAGATGAACAGTATTTTTAAAGAGGGCCAGTGGGATGAGGGCTGAGCAGTGTCCATTGATTTAAGGGCAGATATATCAAGGTGACTTTAGGGTAGAGGCACACACATACACACACATACACACACACACACACACACACACACACACAAAATGGAGAGGAAGGGAAGTCAGGCAGTACAGGTAGCAAGTGTAGACAACTCTTTGGGTCTCAGTCTATAGTTTAGGCTAAGAACTCACTCAGGTTAACATCAAACTCATGGCGATCCTTTGCCTCAACCTCCTAAATGCTGGGATTACAGACATGAGCCACCACTCCCTGATGACAGTTTTAAAAAAAATGAGAACAGGGAGGGAATGTTAGGAGTTAGGATGTGACAGAAGGTTGAGGGTAGGCACACGCTAGAACATGTTTGCAATGGGAAATGCCTTGAACATGTTAATGAGCAGAGGGGACTTTTTAGGAAGAAGGAGAAGAAACTGGGCACGATAGTGCATGTTTATAATCTCAGAACTCAGCTGGGCGTGGTGGTGCACGTCTTTAATCCCAGCACTGAGGAGGCACAGACAAGCAGATGTCTGAGTTCGAGGCCAGCCTGGTCTACATAACGAGTTCCAGGCCAGCTGGGGCTACAGGGAGATCCTGTCTAAAAAAGACCAAAACAAAACAAAACAACAACAGAAAAACAAACCCACATATATAATCTTAGATCTCAGGAGGTAGAGGCAGGAGGATCAGAAGTTCAAGGTTAGCTTCCACTACATAGTGAATTTGAGGCCAACCTAGGCTATGTGAGACCTGTCTCAAAAAAGAGGCTTGGGGCTGTAGCTCAGTTGATAGAGTGCTTGTCTAGGATACATGAAACCCTGTGTTCGATCCCCAGGGCCGCATAAAACTAGGAGTTAAGAGTGGTGGTGTTACGGAGTGGAGTTTGGGACCACTGAAAGAAAGAAAGAAAGAGAGAAAGAAAGACATGAGACCATGCAGGTTTAGAGCCTGCAGAGGAGGTCAGATCCGTGGCTGACTGGCAGCCACATGGCTGGAAGGAAGTTTTAGAGAAAGTAAAAAAATGCAAGATGCTAGTGGGAGCCCAAAGCCTTAAAGAAAGCATGTTTAGTAAGAAAGGCATGGAGAAGAAAAAGGGAAATTATGCTTCCCTGAAGAATTCAGGGAAGTGGGCAACTCACAGACTACGTGGCTGTAGCTAGGACGTTTTGCCCCTGTAGGCAGGATTACAAGCAGGAAAAAGTCGATATCTCTTTAATGCACTAGGTAATACACAGTGACACACCCCTATAGTTTCTAGTACTTGGGAGGTGGAGGTAGGAGGATCAGAAATTCAAGGTCATCCTTAGCTACATAGTGAATTTTAGGCCTGGGCTTATGTACTTAAGAGCTTGTCTTAAAATCAACCACCAACAGCCCGGTGTGGTGGCACATGCCTTTAGTTCCAGCACTCCGGAGGCTGAGGCAGGCAGAGCTCTGTGAGTTTGAGTCCAGCCTGATCTACATAGGGAGTTCCAGGCCGGTTGGGGCTACAGGGAGATCCTGTCCCAAAAAGACAAAAAACCAAAACAACAACAACAACAAAAATGAACCACCAACAAAAAAGAGTTATAATTCAAAGTTATCTTGGGCTCTGGTTGATAGAGAGAAAGGTAGGCCTGTAGTTACAAAGGTGAGAGAGAGAGAGACAGAGAGACAGAGACAGAGAGACAGAGAGAGAGAATTCAGCTCTGTGAGAGCTTCCTTGTGAGAGATTGGGAACTTTATTTCTACCACTTGACTCATTTTGTACTTTAATGTTATCTCCCTGAGTGATAGGAGCTTGATTTCTCTCAATCTGTACTCTCCTTTCAGACCCCTTTCCTCAGCAGGTCTTAACCACTACCAGTCCTCAGGTGTCTACTGACCTGTCTACTTCCATAACTGTTCTAGCTTCTCCATCAGGATGGGTAACCCTGGAAAGGGCAGAGTACCCTTTTCCCTCTACTATGCACCTGCCTCAAGCTCCTGTGCTTGATGGGAGCGTGTGGAGCTCAGAAGCACTGCTTACACAGCATTCCTCTGATGGCCTAGTGCCCCATCAGGACTCCACCCAGGAAGCAAGGCCCAGGGCTCTTCCTCTTGTCATACCACAAACACCCTGGGCTTTGACCAGCTTGTGCGACTCCGGCCTCTCTCTGGGTCCCCTAGTAGCCTTGCTGTGCCCTCCTCTAACTAGTCTGATGGCAGGTGGGGCAAGACTCCTTTTTCTTCACTCCACATTTTCATCTGGGTAGATGGTTCTGTTGATAAAGTGCTTGACAGACAAGTACAGGTTCCCAGCACTTATGTAAAAAAGCCAGCCAGGCATGGCAGTGCAGGAGGTGGTAGAGACAAGGGTCCTCTGGGCTTGCTAGTATAGCCAAAACAGTGAGCGTCAGGTCCAGTGAAAGACCTTGTCTCAAAAATAATGTGTAGAGCAATGGAGCTAGACACCTGTATAAGGTCTCAGGTTTGAGATGATAGTCCTTTTGGGTAAGAGATTTATTAGTAGTTTTGAACACCATGGACAGGCAACATGGCAGGGGTTCTGTAGAGAGTTTAAGCCCACAAGACAAAGTAAGGTTCTCTTTTCTACCAAGCCACACCCTCAGCCCCCTAATAACATTTTGGCATAGTAGGGTTGAGTATTTTTATTTCTGGATGAGGATATTGAGGCTGGAAGAAACTGAGTGACTTTTGTGCCCTCTGCTCTGGGTGGAGGGAGGCAGAGCCAAGTGGGTGAATTGCAGGCCTGGAGCAGCATCTCCCCATCCTGTAGCATACATCGCCTTTCTGCTCATCGCCTGCCTCCTGGACTTCCAGAGGGCCCTGGCACTGTTGGTCATCACCTGTGTGGTTCTAGTCTTTCTGGCCTACAGTCTGCTCAAGAGGCTTCTGGGGCCCAAGCTGAGATGTGCAAAGCTTCAAGGCCATTCTCGCCTGAGCCTCTGGCTGAAAAGGTGAGTGAACCCACAGCCTCTGGTGGGCCTGGGGGAATGGGCCCCACCCTGCTTGTCCTGTTGTACGTGGGGGTGGGGTGGCTTCAAAGGCAGCAGCCATCTCTCTGGTACTCTGCCAGGTTTTCCAATTGTGGTAATAGGTAACTGAATTTTAAGAGTTTCCTGAACTCCGAAGCCTAGCCCACCCAAGCACTGGGGGACTTTTCAGGACCTCTTGTTAGATGATTGCCTGGGGCTAGCCTGTCATCCATTTGTGAAGATCATAGCTGCTAGGAAATAGCCCTGGAGCCGAGTTCAACAAACTGGATTGGGGCCAAGAGCTAACATTTTAAATTAGTTCCCAGGGGATTCTGATGTAACTAGTCATTAGCAATAGTTTGGGGTTCTATCCTTGGAACTTATCCATGGTGGACTGAGTGAACTGACTCCCCAAAGTTGTCCTCAGACCTCCACATGCGCCCCCTATTACACACATACAACAATAATAATTTTTTTTTTTTTATCTTTTTGAGACAGGGTCTCCCTGTAGCTCGAGCTGTCCTGGAACTCACTATGTAGACCAGGCTGGCCTTGAACTCACAAAGATCCACCTGCCTCTGCCTTCCAAGTTCTGGGATTAAAGGCCTGTGCCACCACACTGGGCAACAATAATAAATTTTAAAATTTTAAATTATTTTAAAAGTTCTGGAGGTGCTGGAGAGATGGCTCAGTGGTTAAGAGCACTGGTTGCACTTGCAGAGGACCTGGGTTCTTAACACCCACATAGCAGCTAACAACTGTCTGTAACTCCAGTTGTGGGGATCCAATGACCTCTTCTGATCTTTGTAAGTATTGCACAACTCGGGTGCACTTACATACATACAGGCATACACATAAAATTAAAAAAATAAAATAAAGTTCTGGGGCTGAAGAGATGGCTCAGTGGTTAGGAACACTCACTGTTCTACAGAGGACCCTAGTTCAGTTCCTAGAACCCATGCTTCATGGCTTATAACCACCTATAATCCAGCTTTAGGGGACCTGGCACCTCTGGCCTCTTCAGGCACCTGCACTTATACACACATACCCAGACACATACATGTACATGTAATTAAAAATAAAATAAATCTGTTTTTAAAAAAGGTCTGGAAACTATGGAGACACCATAGAGAGGAGAGGGAGGCCTAGGGAAAAGAGCATCAGAACCGTCTTGGACTATTTTCTGTTGCTATAACTGAATACCAGAGACTTGGAAATTTATAAAGAATAGAGGTTTGAATAGAATGGCTCACATCTGGAGTCTGGAAGAGTCTGGTGTTGACATCTGCTCTGCTTCGTAAGGGCCTCATGCTGCTTCAACTCATGGCAGAAAGCAGGACAAGCAGAAGTCTATGGAAGAAAGGAAATAGGAGAGGCCCTGCTACCCACAGTAACTAGCCCAGACCTTTGGAGTGAGAATTCCCTCATGTCCACCAGGATTAACCCATTTCTTCAAGAAAGGACCTAATTACCTAAGAAAGACTAAGCCCCTTCCTCCCAATACTGTCACAGTGACAGTTAAATTTCAACATGAGAAGCCAGACATGGGGGTGCACACCATAATCCCAGTACTTAGGAGGTAGAGGCAGGAAGATCAGGAATTCCAGATCAGTCTGGACTACATGAGACTCTGTCTCAAAACAAAACAAACACGAGTTTTAATGGGAAAAAGCACATCTAAACCATAGCATTGTTACCTGGCCCACCTCAAACTCTTGCACTTCTCACTTACACAGTATAGCCGTCTCTTCCCAATTGTCCCCAGAGTCTTAACTTGGTCTAACATCAACTCAAGAGTCCAGAGTCCAAAGTCTCATTTGATACTCACGTCTCATCTGAGACTCAGCTGACAGCTTATACATCAAGACCAGTGTCTACTTTTAAAATACACCAGGTAGACTGGACGAATAGTCCAAAAGGGTGAGAGATGGAAGAAGGGTGTAACAGGAACCAAGCAGGTCTGAAATCCAAGAAGGCAAGACTCTAAATCTTTTTTTTTTTTTTGCCTTTTTGAGACAGGGTCTCCCTGTAGCCACAGCTGTCCTGAAACTCACTACTATGTAGACCAGGTTGGCCTTGAACTCACAGAGATCTGCCTGCCTCTACCTCCTGAGTGCTGGGATTAAAGGCATGTGCCACCAAGCCCGGCCAAGACTCTAGATCTTTAAAAAAAATTATTTTATTTGTTATTTTTGTGGGTATGAATATACAATATATGGATGGGTGGGTGCAGGTGTGTGATTGGGTGGGTACACATGTGGAGGTCAGAAGACAACTTTTGGGAATCAGTTCTCTCCTTCCACCATGGGTTTTAAGGATTGAACTTAGGTTGTCAGGTTGGTATGACAAGTGTTTTTACCTGCCGAACCATCCACCAGCCCAATACCTTAAATCTTCAGACTCCAGAATTATTTTTCACTCCATGCACTGCCTTGTGGGTACCGTGGGCTGGTTGGATAACCTGGCCTCTGTGACTTTGCTGGGCTTAGTCTACAAAGTAGAGCAGCTCCATGGGTTAGAACTGTACACAGATGCCTGTGACTTTCTCAAAATGTTGCATGCCACCCATAGCTCCACTGTTCTGGAGTCTCCAGGATGGTCTTGTTTCTGCCTTAGACCTCTGCTCCCACCCCTCAAGCCTGTTCGCAGCATCATTTGCACTCTGGTAGAAGAAAACAGGCCCCATAGGGCTTGCATCCTGCCTGTCTACAGAAGCAGGACCACATGGACAGCTTGGACTCTGCGAAGGCTTATCATTTGTGCACACTGGAGTGGTGGCATGTTATGCCATAAATGAGACCCCCATGGGCTGGAGAGATGGCTCAGCGGTTAAGAACACTGGTTGTTCTTGCAGAAGACCCAGGTTCGAATCCCAGCACCCCCATGGCAGCCAACAACTGTCCCTAACTCCAGTCCCAGGGGATTCGACAGCTTCTTCTGACCTACACGGGCATTGCACGACATGGATGCACTTACCTACATTCAGGCAATACACACATACACATAAAACAATAAAAATAATTTTAAAAAATTTAAAAGAAATGAGACCCCTACCCAGAAAGAAAACTCTAGAGAGCTACAGGGTTCTTCCAGCACATCCAGATGAGTTATTAGTGAATGTCTCTGAGGAAACTCCTAAAAATCCACTAAAAAAGATGGAGAGAATCAGGTCTGGAATCATCAAAAGCCAGGAAGAGAGAGTCTGTTCCTAGAAGAGCACAAAACCTGTAACCCACAGGCAGGGCACTGTGTAGAGCTGGAGGAAGGATCTCTTCACTTTTCTTTGGGGCCCTATGTGCTACTGTGTATGTGTGTGTGTGTGTGTGTGTGTGTGTGTGTGTGTGTGTGTGTGTGTGCGGGTGAAAGAGAGAGAGACAGAGAGAGACAGAGAGAGATAGAGACAGGGAGACAGGGAGACACAGAGACAAAGGCAGAGATAAACAGAGACAGAGAGAGACAGACAAGAGAGATGCTAAGCTTTCTGTCTCTCTTCTGTAGAGGTCTAGCCCTCGCTGCTGGCCTAGGCCTGATCTTGTGGCTGTCTCTGGACACCTCCCAGAGGCCTGAGCAGCTGGTGTCCTTTGCAGGGATCTGCGTGTTCCTCACCCTCCTCTTCGCTGGTTCAAAGCATCATCGCGCTGTGAGTGCTCAGCTTGGTCACTTAGACTGGAAACCAGTGGATGCTCCTTTTTCTCCTAGGTTGGGGCTGGGGTGGGATGGACGCTCCTTCTGAGAGAGCACCCGAGGCTCATAGTTGGGGAAGACCAATGTGCACTGGGACAAGCTCCCTGTGGACTGGTGAGGGACATCCTGGGACTAGAGACTCTAAGTAGAAAGTCATTTGTCCTAGCAGAACTCCTTGAATTCCCCAGGGGATAGGGAGCTTCCTGGAAAGAACTGCAGGATATCTCTTCAAAATCACAGGCCACTGGGGGCATTTATTTCCTTGGTGACATGTTCCTTGGGTCTGTAGTTTCAGGAACCATCCCCCACCCCCCACCTCCATCCCGGAAAATAGAGAATCTGAGCTCCAAGGTCTGTGGGAGAATCCAAGGATGTTCTGAAATTAGTAGTTTAAAATAAGGATTTTCTGTAGCTCCTTGGAACTTATTAGAAATGCTAAATTTTAGGCTGTATCCTACACCTGCTCAGTCAGAAGCTCCAGGGTGAGGCCAGCACAGCAATCCTTCCAGCAGTCCCTCCAGGTTACTGATGCACACAGTGTCCCTCCACCCACTTGGGATGGCCTGCCTGTGTAGCCCTAGGGGGCCCTGCTGCTCTGGGTGAATGAGCTCCTCTCTCAATGTCTCCACAGCTTCACAACTGTGCTCCAGGACCCCTGTATGCTTCAGAGCATGGCTGCAGGGGTGTCTGATGCTCTCCTGAGCATGGGAGCTGTTAAGGAGTCATTCTACACTGAGCAGGAGCAGCAGGTCTGGGATCCAGGCTCTTTTCTGCTGTATAACCCATTGCCATGACTTTCTCTAGACTGGGCAACTTTGACAAAGATCCTTGGTTAGAATCCTGCACTGCCCCTGCCCACCGCCTATCCCACTGACGCCAATAGCCTGGCCTAATCTGAATCCTATGAGACTGTTGGCACCAGATCCAGGGCTGGCCTGGGTCCTGGCTACCCACAGGCAGGCCAAAGCTCATTTTCCCACCCTGGTTGTTGTGGATCCCCTGAGGGGCTGAGCTCACTGGGGCCTCTCTGTCTCCTGGTAGGTGTCATGGCGGGCTGTGGCCTGGGGCCTCGGGCTACAGTTCGTGCTTGGTCTCTTTGTCATCAGAACAGAACCAGGATTTGTGGCTTTCCAGTGGCTGGGTGATCAAATCCAGGTGAGTATAGGGGGCCTGGCTGCTGGGGAATCAGGGAGAAGCCACTTTGATTTGAGGTAAGGTAGATGTGGAGGTCATAGAGAAAGTTTGAGACCAGGAGGACAGATGAAGACTAGGGCCCCTTAACAGGCTGCTGGCCAGGGCCTGGCAGGGTGGTTGCTACTTCTCTCAAACTGGGGCCACCAGCCCAAGGGGCCAAGCTGTCCTTTAGAGGCTAGGGCTGATATGGAAGAGATTCCTAGACAGGGAGGTCCTTAGGGCAGAAGGATACCAGGGCATGTAGCCTACAGTGATCTTCAGTGATTTGGAATGCAGGAGTTAAAATTGCTTTAAAAAGGGGGCTGGAGAGATGGCTCGGTAGTTAAGTACTATTCTCATAGCATACTGCCCTTTCAGAGCACCAAAGCTGTTCCCAGCACCAACTCCAGCTCCAGGGGATCAACATCATCTTCTGGCCTCTGAGGTCACATACACTCCCATGCACATGCCCACACACATATATACACACATACACATAATTAAAAATAATTTAAAAAATCTTTAAATTGCTAGAAAAACAAACAGGAGCAAAAGTTTTGAAAACTATTTACTCTGTCTCTTTAGACGTGTTTATTGAAGCTATACTTGCTTTTGTTTTTATTTTTGAGTTTTCAAAAAATATTTTACTTTAAATTATATAGATGCATGTGCTGTGGGTATGTGCATGTGAGTGCCAATACCCACAAAGGTCAGATGATGATGTTGGACCTCCTGGAGCTGGAGTTATAAGGCAGTTGTAAGCTGTCTGACATGGGTACTAGAACCAAACTCAGGTCCTCTGGAAGAGCAGCTAGCACTTTTAACCTCCGAACCATCACTCCAGCCACTGGAGCTGTTTGTGTGTGTACATGTGCATGTGCTCGTGTATGTATAGAGGTCAGAGGACAATCTTGGGTATTGCTCCTAAAGTACCATCCACAAGGTATCTCACTCATCTAGAGCTTGATAAGTAGGCTAGGCTGGCTGGCCAGCAAGCCTGAGGGATCCTCCTGTCTCTACCTCCCCAGCATTGGGATTACAAAGATTGCAAGCATGCACCATTGTACCTGTCTTTTTAAAATGTGATCTAGAGATGAAACTCAGGTCCTCATGCTTACAAGGCAAGCATTAAGCATTTTAATGAGTGAGCTGTTTCCCAGACCCCTGCTTTTTAAAAAAATTATACATTATTATTTTTTAAATTGTATATGTATGAGTATATTGCCTACATGTATGTAAGTGTACCCATGTTGTGCAATACTGGCAGAGGTCAGAAGAAGGTGACAGATCTCCTGGAACTGAAGTTATGAATGGTTGTTAACCACCATGTGGGTGTTGGGAATCAAATCAGGGTCCTCTGCAAGAGCACTCAGTACTCTTAACTGCTGAGCCATCTCTCAAGCCCCCCTCCCACCCCTTTTTGAGACAGTCTCACTGTGTAGACCAGGCTGGTCCTGAAGTCATGGCAATCCTGCCTCAGCCTCCCAAGTGCTGGGATTATAAGCACGAGATACCACTCTTGGCTCTTTGAGTTACACTTTTGCTTTTGTTTTGCTTTGTTTGGACAGTGTCTTGTGTAGTTCATGTTATCCTCAAATATACGTAATATGAACTTTACCATTTTAACTTCCTTAAGTCATTTAACTCATGCCTACTGTTGATGGAGGCACATATACAGACTGTCACAGTACTGGTCCACCTTGAGGCAGGAGGGCCTATGGCCCTGGAGCCTTTCATGTGCCTGGGCTAGGTTCAGGCCCCTGCTCACTACCCTAGCCTGTGTCTCTGGCCATGGTTTCCCCTTCTTTTTTTTTTTTTATCTCAGAGAATCTGCCTGCCTCTGCCTCTGTCTTCCGAGTGCTGGGATTAAAGGCATGAGCCACTCATCATGCCTGGCTCCTTCTTCCCTTCTTATCCCCACTCCCTGTATTTGTTGTTTCTCCTCCAGGTCTTCCTGAGCTACACAGAGGCCGGCTCCCGCTTTGTCTTTGGGGAGGCTCTGGTCAAGGATATCTTTGCCTTTCAGGTCAGTTGACTCTTGCTCCAGTAAGGGTTGGAAGCTGCTGCCCAGGTCCAGCTGTGGGAGCCTGAGCTAGCTGGGCAGGGCCAGGCTGAGAGAAGGTGAGCCCAGGTCATGAGAGCTCCTTTGGGCACAGGCTGGTCCCTGGGATGCTAATGGAGCAGCTCAGGGCCTGGGAGGGACCCAGCAACATACTGACCTGATGACATCTGCACTATGCTTTGTAAAATGTGGGAAAGATACTGTTTATGCGTTCTTTTCCTTAGATGCGAACCCCCATACCACAGAACTGCTAGAAGGCTGAGGATAAAAAAATGGGGGGGGCTGAGAGATGAAGGCTCCTGCTGAGGCCTTAGCCCCTTACATGCTACATGGACTCTGAACCCATAAAGGACAGTTTCCTGTCAGGGAGCGCCTCTATGGGGCACGCTGGGCACCAGGTGTGGGGTGCACGGGTATCTGCTCCTGCGCTGCTTCCCTGCGTCTTCCGTGGCTCTCTGCTGCTGGGGGCTTTGCCTAGCCGGGTCCCGCCCTAATTTCACCCATGCACTTTCCTCAATATGCAAGTTCCACCGGCCGCTGGATCACGTGGGAGAGTGTGAGGGTGGCTACAGCTGAGATCCGTGAGTCGGTGAGGGAAAGACAGCTCTTCCCAGGAAGGCTGGATCGTAGGCAGTGAGACAAGACTCAGCTCAGTCAGACTCAATGTTACAGCTCTTTATTCAATGGCTCTGCGTGGCTCCAAGCCTCAGTGTCCCAGAGTGATCCAGCTCCTTCAATTATTGAGGGGAATCAGGGAACTTTATACCATGGGGGTAGTGGTAAAAGCTTCAGCTGATAGGTACTTTGGGGATGCCTCATTTGCGTGTGGAAATGGGCTCC